CGCTCAGACACGCTCTCAGACAGTATGACACGCTCAGACACGCACTCAGCCAGTATGACACGCTCAGACACGCACTCAGCCAGTATGACACGCTCAGACACGCACTCAGCCAGTATGACACGCTCAGACACGCACTCAGCCAGTATGACTCACTCGGACACGCACTCAGCCAGTATGACACACTTGGACACGCACTCAGCCAGTATGACACACTCGGACACGCACTCAGCCAGTATGACACACTCGGACACGCACTCAGCCAGTATGACACACTCGGACACGCACTCAGCCAGTATGACACGCTCAGACACGCACTCAGCCAGTATGACACGCTCAGACACGCTCTCAGCCAGTATCACACACTCGGACACGCACTCAGCCAGTATGACACGCTCAGACACGCACTCAGCCAGTATGACACGCTCAGACACGCACTCAGCCAGTACGACACGCTCAAACACGCACTCAGCCAGTATGACACGCTCAGACACGCACTCAGCCAGTATGACACGCTCAAACACGCACTCAGCCAGTATGACACGCTCAAACACGCACTCAGCCAGTATGACACGCTCAGACACTCACTCAGCCAGTATGACACGCTCAGACACGCACTCAGCCAGTATGACACGCTCAAACACGCACTCAGCCAGTATGACACGCAAACTGGCAAAGTAATCTAAAATCAGTATTACCAACATCAACATCACGACATACCTTAACTTGCACTCAAACAACCTGCACTCAAACAACTTGCACTCAAACAACTTGCACTCAAAAAACCTGCACTCAAAACACTTGCACTCAAACAACTTGCACTCAAAAAAACCTGCACTCAAACAACTTGCACTCAAAAAACCTGCACTCAAACAACTTCAAGAGCACCTTAACAACCAGTTTAAGAGCCTTCAAACAATGGTTACAGTACTCACAGTATAGAAGTTACTGCGTACTTAACAGGCGGAATAGACCACATAAAACAGCGAATGGAACGTAAACACAGCAAATGGAACACACAAAACAGTTGATAAAACACACAAACAGCGGATCAACACACAAAGAAACATAAGGAACACACAAAACAGCAGATGGAACACACAAAACAGCAGATGGAACACACAAAACAGCAAATGGAACACACAAAACAGCAGATGGAACACACAAAACAGCAGGATGGAACACACAAAACAGCAGATGGAACACACAAAACAGCAGATGGAACACACAAAACAGCAGGTGGAACACACAAAACAGCAGATGGAACACACAAAACAGCAGGTGGAACACACAAACAGCAGATGGAACACACAAAACAGCAGATGGAACACACAAAACAGCAAATGGAACACACAAAACAGCAGATGGAACACACAAAACAGCAGGATGGAACACACAAAACAGCAGATGGAACACACAAAACAGCAGATGGAACACACAAAACAGCAGGTGGAACACACAAAACAGCAGATGGAACACACAAAACAGCAGGTGGAACACACAAAACAGCAGGTGGAACACACAAAACAGCAGATGGAACACAAAACAAAACAGCAGATGGAACAAACAAAACAGCAGATGGAACACACAAAACAGCAAATGGAACACACAAAACAGCAGATGGAACACACAAAACAGCAGATGGAACACACAAAACAGCAGGTGGAACACACAAAACAGCAAATGGAACACACAAAACAGCAGATGGAACACACAAAACAGCAGGATGGAACACACAAAACAGCAGATGGAACACACAAAACAGCAGATGGAACACACAAAACAGCAGATGGAACACACAAAACAGCAGGTGGAACACACAAAACAGCAGATGGAACACAGAAAACAGTAGGTGGAACACACAAAACAACAGATGGAACACACAAAACAGCAGATGGAACACACAAAACAGCAGATGGAACACACAAAACAGCAGATGGAACACATAAAACAGCAGATGGAACACACAAAACAGCAGATGGAACACACAAAACAGCAGATGGAACACACAAAACAGCAGATGGAACACACAAAACAGCAGGTGGAACACACAAAACAGCAGATGGAACACACAAAACAGCAGGTGGAACACACAAAACAGCAGGTGGAACACACAAAACAGCAGATGGAACACACAAAACAGCAGATGGAACACACAAAACAGCAGATGGAACACACAAAACAGCAGATGGAACACACAAAACAGCAGGTGGAACACACAAAACAGCAGATGGAACACACAAAACAGCAGATGGAACACACAAAACAGCAGATGGAACACACAAAACAGCAGGTGGAACACACAAAACAGCAGATGGAACACACAAAACAGCAGGTGGAACACACAAAACAGCAGATGGAACACACAAAACAGCAGATGGAACACACAAAACAGCAGATGGAACACACAAAACAGCAGATGGAACACACAAAACAGCAGATGGAACACACAAAACAGCAGATGGAACACACAAAACAGCAGATGGAACAACACACCCTGTAGACACACACAACACACCCTGTAGACACACACAACACACCCTGTAGACACACACAACACACCCTGTAGACACCACACAACACACCCTGTAGACACACACAACACACCCTGTAGACACACAACACACCCTGTAGACACACACAACACACCCTGAAGACACACACAACACACCCTATAGACACCACACAACACACCCTGTAGACACCACACAACACACCCTGTAGACACACACAACACACCCTGTAGACACACAACACACCCTGTAGACACACACAACACACCCTGTAGACACAACACAAACACCCTGTTGACACAACACAACACACCCTGTAGACACACACAACACACCCTGTAGACAAACACAACACACCCTGTAGACACAACACACCCTGTAGACACACACAACACACCCTGTAGACACAACACAACACACCCTGTAGACACAACACACCCTGTAGACACACACAACACACCCTGTAGACACACACAACACACCCCTGTAGACACACACAACACACCCTGTTGACACAACACAACACACCCTGTAGACACACACAACACACCCTGTAGACACAACACAACACACCCTGTAGACACAACACACCCTGTAGACACACACAACACACCCTGTAGACACAACACAACACTCCCTGTAGACACAACACACCCTGTAGACACACACAACACACCCTGTAGACACACACAACACACCCTGTAGACACACACAACTCACCCTGTAGACACACAACACACCCTGTAGACACACACAACACACCCTGTAGACACACACAACACACCCTGTAGACACACACAACACACCCTGTAGACACACACAACACACCCTGTAGACACACAACACACCCTGTAGACACACAACACACCCTGTAGACACACACACCCTGTAGACACACCCTGTAGACACACACAACACACCCTGTAGACACACAACACACCCTGTAGACACACACAACACACCCTGTAGACACACACAACACACCTGTAGACACACAACACACCCTGTAGACACACACAACACACCCTGTAGACACACACAACACACCCTGTAGACACACACAACACACCCTGTAGACACACAACACACACACACAACCCCTGTAGTAGACACACACAACACACCCTGTAGACACACAACACACCCTGTAGACACACACAACACACCCTGTAGACACACACAACACACCCTGTAGACACACACAACACACCCTGTAGACACACACAACACACCCTGTAGACACACACAACACACCCTGTAGACACACACAACACACCCTGTAGACACACAACACACCCTGTAGACACACACAACACACCCTGTAGACACACACAACACACCCTGTAGACACACACAACACACCCTGTAGACACACACAACACACCCTGTAGACACACACAACACACCCTGTAGACACAACACAACCTGTACACCCAACACACCCTGTAGACACACACAACACACCCTGTAGACACAACAACAACACACCCTGTAGACACACACAACACACCCTGTAGACACAACACAACACACCCTGTAGACACACACACACACCCTGTAGACACACACAACACACCCTGTAGACACAACACAACACACCCTGTAGACACAACACACACCTGTAGACACACACAACACACCCTGTAGACACACACAACACACCCTGTAGACACACACAACACACCCTGTAGACACACACAACACACCCTGTAGACACACAACACACACCTGTAGACACACACAACACACCCTGTAGACACACAACACACCCTGTAGACACACACAACACACCCTGTAGACACACACACACACCCTGTAGACACACACAACACACCCTGTAGACACACAACACACCCTGTAGACACACACAACACACCCTGTAGACACACACAACACACCCTGTAGACACACACAACACACCCTGTAGACACACACAACACACCCTGTAGACACACACAACACACCCTGTAGACACACACAACACACCCTGTAGACACACACAACACACCCTGTAGACACACACAACACACCCTGTAGACACACACACAACACACCCTGTAGACACACACAACACACCCTGTAGACACAACACAACACACCCTGTAGACACAACACAACACACCCTGTAGACACACACAACACACCCTGTAGACACACACAACACACCCTGTAGACACAACACACACCCTGTAGACACACACAACACACCCTGTAGACACACACAACACACCCTGTAGACACACACACACCCTGTAGACACACACAACACACCCTGTAGACACACACACACACCCTGTAGACACACACACACACCCTGTAGACACACACAACACCCCTGTAGACACACAACACACCCTGTAGACACACACAACACACCCTGTAGACACACAACACACCCCTGTAGACACACACAACACACCCTGTAGACACACAACACACCCTGTAGACACACAACACACCCTGTAGACACACAACACACCCTGTAGACACACAACAACACACCCTGTAGACACACAACACACCCTGTAGACACACACAACACACCCTGTAGACACACAACACACCCTGTAGACACACAACACACCCTGTAGACACACAACACACCCTGTAGACACACAACACACCCTGTAGACACACACAACACACCCTGTAGACACACACAACACACCCTGTAGACACACACAACACACCCTGTAGACACACACAACACACCCTGTAGACACACAACACACCCTGTAGACACACACAACACACCCTGTAGACACACACAACACACCCTGTAGACACACACAACACACCCTGTAGACACACAACACACCCTGTAGACACAACACACCCTGTAGACACACAACACACCCTGTAGACACACACAACACACCCTGTAGACACACACAACACACCCTCTTCAATTCCTTTCAATAAATGTCTCAAGGCTGCGGAGATTGACTTTAGAGCAGAAACTTTTATCTTCTGAATTCCTCTCAAGAGATTACCTCTGTCTGCCTGTCTGTCTGTCTCTAACTCACCCCCGACTGTCACCCTACTGTCTGTCTGTCACCTTCCCCTCTTTCCCCAGGTCACACCTCCGTCAATCCTCAATCATCGACTTTGTAAAGATTGTCAATTAAGGTAGATTTGAATTTACTTATAAAATGTATCTTTACATCAAAGAAATTCGCATCTATTTTTTTTCTTGGACAGGAATGTCTTGGAGCTGTCTCAGGAGGACAGCTGACAGGTTCAAGTTAATGGTATATGTAGTTATTGCAACTTGTGTTGGAGTAATGGGTGCCTAAGGGAGAGTTCAATCAATGATGTGTGCAGTAGAGGGAGTTGAGACACAATGGAATCTGTTCCAGCAGGCATTGGGGGGTCGAACCTGTGGTTTGATGTCTTCTGGAGTGTGTTGAATATCTCACCACACCACCACATGATGATCTGTCTGTCTCTGTCTGTCTCTCTCTCTCCCTCTCTCTGTCTCTCTCTCTCTGTCTCTCTCTTCGTGAGTGAGGGGCGGCCAGGAGACACGAGCAGGTGGGTGAGGGGCGGCCAGGAGACACCAGCAGGGTGAGGGGCGGCCAGGAGACACCAGCAGGGTGAGGGGCGGCCAGGGGACACCAGCAACAGGGTGAGGGACGGCCTGGAGACACCAGCAGGGTGAGGGGCGGCCAGGAGACACCAGCAGGTGGGTGAGGGGCGGCCAGGAGACACCAGCAGGGTGAGGGGCGGCCAGGAGACACCAGCAAAGTGAGGGGCAGCCAGGGGACACCAGCAGGGTGAGGGGCGGCCAGGAGACACCAGCAGGGTGAGGGGCGGCCAGAGGACACCAGCAGGGTGAGGGGCGACCAGGAGACACCAGCAGGGTGAGGAGCGGCCAGAGGACACCAGCAGGGTGAGGGGCAGCCAGGAGACACCAGCAGGGTGAGGGGCGGCCAGGAGACACCAGCAGGGTGAGGGGCGGCCAGGAGACACAAGCAGAGTGAGGGGCGGCCAGGAGACACCAGCAGGTGGGTGAGGGGCGGCCAGGGGACACCAGCAGGGTGAGGGGCGGCCAGGGGACACCAGCAGGTGGGGTGAGGGGCGGCCAGGGGACACCAGCAGGGTGAGGGGCGGCCAGGAGACACCAGCAGCAAGGTAAGGGGCGGCAAGGAGACACCAGCAGGGTGAGGGGCGGCCAGGGGACACCAGCAGGGTGAGGGGCGGCCAGGGGACACCAGCAGCAGGGTGAGGGGCGGCCAGGAGACACCAGCAGCAGGGTGAGGGGCGGCCAGGAGACACCAGCAGGGTGAGGGGCGGCCAGGGGACACCAGCAGGGTGAGGGGCGGCCAGGAGACACCAGCAGGGTGAGGGGCGGCCAGGGGACACCAGCAGCAGGGTGAGGTGCGGCCAGGAGACACCAGCAGGTGGGTGAGGGGCGACCAGGAGACACCAGCAGGGTGAGGGTCGGCCAGGAGACACCAGCAGCAGGGTGAGGGGCGGCCAGGGGACACCAGCAGGGTGAGGGGCGGCCAGGAGACACCAGCAGGGTGAGGGGCGGCCAGGGGACACCAGCAGGTGGGTGAGGGGCGGCCAGGAGACACCAGCAGGGTGAGGGGCGGCCAGGAGACACCAGCAGGGTGAGGGGCGGCCAGGGGACACCAGCAGCAGGGTGAGGGACGGCCAGGAGACACCAGCAGGGTGAGAGGCGGCCAGGAGACACCAGCAGGGTGAGGGGCGGCCAGGGGACACCAGCAGCAGGGTGAGGGGCGGCCAGGAGACACCAGCAGCAGGGTGAGGGGCGGCCAGGGACACCAGCAGGGTGAGGGGCGGCCAGGAGACACCAAAAGGGTGAGGGGCGGCCAGGGGACACCAGCAGCAGGGTGAGGGGCGGCCAGGAGACAGCAGCAGGCGGGTGAGGGGCGGCCAGGAGACACCAGCAGAGTGAGGGGCGGCCAGGAGACACCAGCAGGGTGAGGCGCGGCCAGGAGACACCAGCAGGTGGGTGAGGGGC